TGGGGTTGGGGGGAGTTTCAGCCGCAGTTCAGATACTGACACTGCAAGTTGTGCAACAGAGGGGTGTGAATGGGAATGAGTCGTCCCCAGCTCCCTTTGGAGCTGTGAGGCTACAGAAAATGCACCCTGTGGGGCTGGGAAATGAGCTGCCCTTGTCCCGCTCTTCATCACCATCTCCATATGTAGGCTGAGAGAGAAGACTTTGGAAATCTTCCCTTACCGCCTGAAGTCCTCCACTCTCCGCTCCGTCCAGTTTCTCTCTGAGAGGTGCTTGTGAGGGTGAGTGTCCTTCAGTGGAGAGAGGTGCGAGTGCAGGGCAGTGAGGGGCAGGACTCCTTGGCAGACCAGATCCCGTGACTCTGTACAAAGTCACAGCAAGCCCTCTTTTCCCCTTGGGATGCCTGAGTGCTCATGCTGAGAGCAACTGAAATACCAAAGATTTCTGCTCTGTCAAAGAATGCCGCCACAGTGAGAGGGAGGCACCTAAAAGCTAAATAAATAATCAGACTCCTCTGCCGAAGGTTATTTTCCAGAGAAAATAGGTGTCTAAACGTTGACCTGCCCTTCCACATAAGGGGTGGATGTAACCTGCTGCAGCATGTGCACCTCAGAGCTAGTCACCTCCCCCTCCCACCACAGTGCCTGGAGAAAGAACACACATAGTAAATTGGCGTGAGGATGGGGTCTCAGGATCTCATTGGGATGGAGACGTCTAGAAACGGTCGAGTCACTGGACCAAGTTCCCTTTCTGCCTCTCCCAGCGACAATTTTCAGGTAACCCACCAAATGCATGGGGCTAACTGACACCATCATTTACACCCCCCAGCAGAGCAGAACGGACTCTTTGGAGGCTTGGCTGAGGCCCCTGCTCTGCATGGCATGTTCAGTCAGCATGAAGTAGAGCTCCGGAAAGAGCGCTGAATGAATGTAAAGTACAGAGAAAAGGTGGGGATTTCTATTACAAGTGGAAGGGGTTGGGGTCAGAAAAGACTGCATGACTTACCACTGTCTTTTCCCCTTTAAACAGTTCCCACAGCCCAGAGGGAGCAAATGTTCAACGGCAGCTCTCCCAACCAGTTCCTCCTCACGGCGTTTGCAGACACACGGCAGCTGCAGCTCTTGCACTTCTCACTCTTCCTGGGCATCTACCTGGCTGCCCTCCTGGCCAACGGCCTCATCATCACAGCCGTAGCCTGCCACCACCGCCTCCACACCCCCATGTACTTCTTCCTCCTCCACCTTGGGAGCAAATGTTCAACGGCAGCTCTCCCAACCAGTTCCTCCTCACGGCGTTTGCAGACACACGGCAGCTGCAGCTCTTGCACTTCTCACTCTTCCTGGGCATCTACCTGGCTGCCCTCCTGGCCAACGGCCTCATCATCACAGCCGTAGCCTGCCACCACCGCCTCCACACCCCCATGTACTTCTTCCTCCTCCACCTTGCCCTCCTCGACCTCGGCTCCATCTCCACCACTGTCCCCAAATCCATGGCCAATTCCCTGAGGGACACCACGGCCATTTCCTACGCAGGATGTGCTGCCCAGGTCTTTTTCCTCTTTTTCTTATGTTCAGCTGAGTATTCTCTCCTCACAGTCATGGCCTACGACCGCTACGTTGCCATCTGCAGACCCCTGCACTACGGGACCCTCCTGGGCACCAGAGCTTGTGTCAGGATGGCAGCAGCTGCCTGGGCCACTGGTTTCCTCTGTGCTGCCCTACACACTGCCAACACATTTTCTGTTCCTCTCTGCCAAGGCAATGTCGTGGACCAGTTCTTCTGTGAGATTCCCCAACTCCTCAAGCTCTCCTGCTCACACTCCTACCTCCGGGAAGTTGGGCTTATTGTGGTTAGTCTTTTGTTATTCTTTGGGTGTTTCGTTTTCATTGTGCTGTCCTACGTGCAGATCTTCACAGCTGTGCTGAGGATGCCCTCTGAGCAGGG